GCGGTTAATAACTGCATTTTACCTTAACGGCCATTTGGACCGTTAAGGTAAAACACGGTTATTAACCGCGTTTCATATAGAACGCGGTAATAAACCGCGATTTAAAGGAAGCTGAAAAAAGTTGTATATAAAACGCGGTTCATATACAGCGTTTTACATAAAGCGCGGTAATGAACCACGTTTTATATATATAAATATCAGAATCCCTTCCCTTTACCCCATGTTCTGCCTAGTCTTCCCCTTCGTTTTTTTTTTAAAAAAAAGGGTCCCCCCCCCCTCCACTAACAACAAAAAAAGCTCGAGTGGACCCCATCCGTCCCGTAAAAAATAGATATTGTTGGTCCCACATCCTAGCCAAGCCTTCTATTGTTGCGGGTTGCTTGTTTCAGAGTCAAATTTCAAATCTTCAACTTTCCGGAAAACATAAATTGAGGTATTCCGATTTAGTTTATGTCCAAACTCGTATAAATAGTGCATATTAGTTGTTTTGAATGTGTTGTATGTTGTTTTGTGTTTTTCTTGCGATTAAATTGGTATGTTATTTTTATCCGGACTAAGATATTAATATTGTAAAAAAAATGTAAAAATTGTGAAATTGTTATTATTTGTTAATAAAAATGTTAATAAATTACTATTACTGTTTTATATGTATTTTTGTGATTACAATGTATTTGTTGTATTTTATCTAGTTTAAATCATTTTTTTGCTTAAAGACTAGTAAATCGTAATGCCTTTTAGGGTAGTAAAATGTAATGCCTTTTAGCGTAGCATAATGTAGTGCCTTTTACCGTAGTATAATGTAGTGCCTTTTAGCGTAGTAAAATGTAGTGCCTTTTAGCGTAGTTTCCCTGTAGTTTAAGTATCTCTTATACCCCAAAATGCGTCAAAATAACTGATCGATCAAACACGAACTCCGTCCAATTATAGTCAACATATATTTGGTGATACTGGGCCGCAAATATCGAGCCTGGAACCCATATATGAATATTTAATAATTAAATATTATATAATTTTAAAAATTANTAATATTGCTTAGAACAATTGTGCTTGATGATCCACAAGAATTTAGAGAGATACCCATTTATACATTCTGATTAAGGGTAAAAATAAGGTAGGTAAATTGATTACATCGTGGATCCCTGTAATTACGCCTTAATGGCCTGAAGTGGTTGAGAAAATCATGTTTGGGCGAGATATCCGGCGACGCTTGGTTATCCGTTACGAGCCCGGCTTCCGACCTTGTGTGTTTCTCCATCCGGTGGTGATTCCTTTCGAGCTCTGTAACGGTCTCGAAATGACTCGACCTCGGTTGTAGACGTGGCCGTCGTTCTACCTTGCATCCAGGTCGGGTTCGATGGCCCCGACTTGCTCCGGACCGGATCCAACCCGGTCGGGCTCAAGCAAAAAAAAAGGGTATCACCCAATACAACCTTATACATAATATAATTTTTCGGCAAAAGATGTTCAATTGACCACCTTTGGGCTAATATAGCTTCGGCCCTGACTTCTAGATAGTTTAAATTTTGAAACATGTGGTATCATTGGAGGAGAACATTCTTATACTTGCAAATTAAGAGTCTGAAAGACAAATTGTATCATAATCGGCCAACCAGTCCTGCTGAAAAAAAGAAGAAGTCAATTTCCTCAATTTAACGTAATTTGTCATATAAATAAAGATCAAAATATTTGCTTTTTAACCCAAAAAATTTAAATGGGTATAGTAAGAAATCTTGACTAATAAAAGTGTCTAGATCAAATATATCTGGCATGGCTGCACATTATTAAAATAAATTAATGTCATTAATTAAGTGTGGTCTATTGCCTGCTAATTATTCTTCCAATTTCCAGAAGTGCTTAATAATTTACATTGTTTATTATTTTTGAAAAGCATAGAAAAAATAGGAGTCGTGAGCTCTGTTTTAAAAGGCTGAATTGGAATTCGCCCGGGGCTCGTCCGGGACGGAGCACTCGTAAAACGCCCCCGCGCTTATGTGTGGGGCTTAGTTCCGTGAGACTTACGCCTCGACTATTGGGGCTTACGCCCCGGACACGCCCAACGCCTAGCGTACTGGGCTCGTCTAATAGAACTTTATGCAATTGTATGTAACTAACCTTGTAAATCCTCAAATTTTCTTAATAAATCGTTGACTATTCAAAATTACTTTTTTCCTAATTTTAAATTATTAAGTTGAGAGTATTTTATGTCATAATTAAAGTAAAAATTATTGCACGTTATCCACTAAGACTGCTATGATAGTTAATTTTAAATAAATCTTTCATTTAAAAAGTATTTATTTATTAACTTTTGTTATGTCTTTACTATATACTAGTCCATAATTTTTTATAATCATTTTTGTAAATGTTTTTTTTCATGTTTATGAGATACAACACTTATTAATTTAATAGCTCAGTATTAGTAACTATTTACAAATAATTAGTTATCATGGTATTGTATGGTGAATTATGTGTCACTTTATGAACTTGTTGAAACTTAAAAATGAACGATGCTTGAGAATCACATTTAAATTGTGAATTATATTTTTATATAAATTCTCTTTCAAATACAAAGCATATTAAATAAAAGGAGTATTTTAAGAAAAATATCAAATTATAATATCGAAATTCTTTCAAGATTCATTACTCCTTAAGAGATACATATAAGATTTCGTATCGAATACATTACTTTTGATGTTTGATCTGTAACGACGTTGCAGCTAATTTGCATATTATGATATATGTCATACTTTTCGTATTATTCATAGTTGAATTATAATTTATAATTTTTTTTAAAATAGATTATTTGTATAATTTGTGATTTAACGTAATTTTTATAATTATTTTTTATTTTATACTATCTTAAAATTCTTGAAATTAGTAAAATTTAAAGATCCGTGGGACTTACGCCCCATGTCTCAGGGCTTACGCCTTGCCTCGTCAGAGGTAAAACGCCTCGCCTCACGCCCCCGCCTTTTAAAACACTGGTTGTGAGTAGGGGTGTCAATGGTTCGGTTCGCCCGGTTATTTTTTAAAATTTCTACCATACCAATTTTTCGGTTATTTTATTATGTATAACCAAAATTAGACTTTCCAAAACCGTCCCAATCATATCGGTTTCTCTTCGGTATCGGTACGGTTTGGTTAATTTTCGATATTTTTTAAATGTCATGTAAAAGACACTAGTAGAAGTAGAATGCAATAACATTTGTACTTTTATAGGACTTCGCAAAACTCTCTAGATATTTTTAAAGGGTGATGAATTATGAAAGCATGAAAGAGTATAAATCCATCAACTATTCTACATCAGCGTAAAAGAAACTAAGTAAAGACAAAGAAAATATAAATCACACGAATGAAAAAATATTAACCAAGTTGGGACAGATCAAGAATAAAGTCTATGAAAGATTAAATACTCAAAAAGATAAAATTTAATCATACGAAAGGAAACATATTCAATGCATTGCAGTTTGCGACTCATAATCGCTAGTACCTTGTGTCTTGCTAGTGAATATGCTGGAAATAATTTAGCTTCAATAAGAGTAGAATAATATTTTTTGGGAATTAGGATATTGAGTTAATTCCTCGTTGGCTTGTAACCATTTTTATAATTTCAAGGCCCCACGAAAAAGTTTAATGCTTTATTATTTTTAAACTTAATATATAAATATATTTTCTACATGTAAATTTATTCGGTACGGTTCGGTATTTTCTCGGTTTATTTTCACAAAATAAAAAACATACCCTAATTATCGGTACGGTTATAAATTTATATAAAAACCTACGATTTTATTAAAAGAAACCTGAAAATTGGTTCGGTACGGTACGGTTCGGTCGGTTTAGTCTGTTTTTAAATATCCATTGACACCCCTAGTTGTGAGAGATGAAGAAGCCATTGCTCAAAGATTTTCTATGAATCTTTTTATGCTTAGCCGGTGAAGTTAATTCCCTAGCAATATGCAAACTATTTAGGAAAATGGGAAACAAATTGGGAACTTATTAATTTGATAAATATTTGCAGTTACCAGTCATCACCAATTACTTCTTCTTGCAAATAAGTCTCTAATTAATGTATATCCTTTTTATTCATGTATCAGAAATTGTCTTTAATCCAATTGATTGCATTTCGGAGTGTGAATCCTGTTCTTTAGGATTAAAAAAATGACAAAATCTTTGATTCCCTGTAATCTCTCCCTCTTTTCAGACCAAAAAAAGAGAAACCCTTTCTTTATACTCCATCCTAAAGTATGCGAAAATACTAAGTCTTACGTTATGTTACAATAAATTATACTCCTACTGAATTTCCATAGTTAAGTGATAAACTGTGGTGAAAATTTATGGTAGTATTAATTAACCAAATTTAATGACAATATTTAGTGCAAATAAAACTGTCCTTAAAAAATATGTTGACGGAAGAAAGTTTATTTTAACCTAATATCTGAACTAAGATAATAAATGTGTGACATGTGCATATATAAATCCGGGTAAATTTTTGCCACTTTCAAACCATAGAAAAAAAATAAAAAATAAAAAATAAAGTAGACTTCAGAACTACGACATAAAAAGTAACTCATTCAATATTTCTATTTGTTCCCAATTAATAAATGACTTTAATGTATAAACGGTATGGATGTGAGTAATTTTATTTTGTAACTCACACAAATGACACTAATTTGTGTGAGATCTTTTTTATCCCATATATTTGTTGACCCATTATACATTTGAGTCCACAAAATTAAAGAGGCTTCACACAACTAGTGTCAGTTGTGTGAGGCACAAAATAAATTTTTTGTAAATATGGACACAAGCATAACTCATAAATGATTCAAAGATCTTACTTGTACTATATATTAATAAAATATGAACAATTTTTATTCCAGTTTTAGCCTCCAAATAAGGAATGGAATTGAACTGAATTTTCTTAGCATACTTGAGCTTGAAAAACGCGCCTATGAAATCTCCGACGACATAGTATAAGTCACAAAACCTGCATGTCTACGTTGTTTGCTTAATTACCACCTCTCTCTTTATTACTACTACTACACAAATCACAAGAATAAAGAGAGAGAATCAATCCCCTTTAGCTCTGCCACTTTTCAGTTTCTTTAAATTTATTATTTTATTTTACATACTATAAATACAGAAGAGACGAGAAAAAGAGGGAAGAAAGTGAAACCCCACCATCATGTTTGGCTTTTTCCTTATGGTATATAAATGCTTCCTCTAAATCCAATAACTTTGGCCTGCCCAAAACCAAGAAACATATCACCAAGTTATAGGCATAGGTTTTGCCAACAGACTACAATATAGAGAGATCCTCCCTATCTTCTCTCTATAGAACAAATCAAGTCATTGTCACGTTGTCTGCTTCTTTCATTTTTTTGTTGTGGTGAAAAACTTGTTTGATATGGCCATTCAAGCGCAGTTGTATTCGGAGAATCTTGGTTTTCCTTTAGGAGTTTCGCAGGATTTGATGGAGAATAATTCTTGTGGATTCAATCAGTTTTCTTTTAACCCTCAACAGCAACAATATTACGACTACCCACAACAGCATCAGCAGTTGCAAAATTTGTACCAAAAAGACAACCAGAATTTGATGCAATTCGTCCCAACATATAACAGCAGTTCTGCACAAACAATGCCAACGTTTTCCCAGAGTCTAACTTCCCAGTTAGAGAAACAGAATATTGAGATCAATCGGTTCCTCAGTTTACAGGTAATTCTCATATAGTATATGCTTCTTCTATCTCAACGTGTTTTTGTATAAATATAATCTTCAATAGTGAGTACATGTTTGAATTAAGTATAATTGATTCTTCCTTGAAAACAGAACGAGAGATTGAGATTGACACTACAGGAGCAAAGAAAGAAACAAATGGCATTAATCTTGAGAAAATACGAGTCAAAGGCACAGTATTTGCTAAAACAGAAAGACGAAGAAATTGCAAAGGCAGCAAACAGGACAACAGAGCTACAAGATTTCTCGAAAAGAATGGAAATAGAGAAGCAAACATGGCAGAGAATGGCCATAGAGAAAGAAGCAATGGTGATGTCACTTAACAACACGATTGAACAGTTAAAAGAGAGTGCTTGTTCATCAACAAACAGAGGTACTGCAGAAGATGTAGAGTCTTCTTGTCATGTAGCAGAGGAAGATAAAACAGAACAACAGTATGGACATCAGATGATGATGATGATGTGCAAAAGCTGCAATTCTAGGAAATCGTGCATGATTTTCCTTCCTTGCAGACACCTATGTTCATGCAAATATTGTGACACTTTTCTCCACTCATGTCCTGTCTGTAATATGTTGAAGAAAGCTAGCATTGAGGCCTTGATTTGATCTGCTGTGAAAATGACTTGTTTTCTTCTTTCCAAGAAAAGTCACAGTAAATTTATGGTAAATCGTGGATAGATTAGTCATTCTATATGTATTCATTAATTTCTTGACATCTTGTTTTTCTCTGTCTACTTTTTGACGACTTGAACAGATTTACAATTAGCAGTGCGACATGGCACTAGCATCTTTTTCCTTTGTTGGAGACATTACTTTTACTCGCATTGGGGATATTATTCTTTCACTTTTAGGTTGATTTGATTATTCGTATCTGATTCTCTAGCAATCCTTCTTACTTCTTACTGTAATTTAGTTGAATCGTGACGGAAAGGTTAAAAGCAATATGTCAGAAATTAGAATGGAACGAGGGCCCGAGCACATTCTTTTTCTTTTGTTTTTCTCATTTTGAAGGAAAAGGTCCAAAGAAAACTCCAGTGAGTAGTACTATTTTGGGTTTTTATTCAAACAACCGATTCTTATCATTATCAATTTTAAAAGTATTTTCAAATATTAAGAGGTTGATTTTTTATTTAATACGGAATATTAAATGTGTTATCATACGTTTTAAACGATTTTTTTCTTCTTTTTGGGCAGAGAATATTTGGGAAAAGGGTCAAATATGCCCCTATACTATTGAAAAAGGTCTAATATTGCCCTCCGTTATACTATCAGTCCAAATATACCTCTAACGTCATACTATCGGTCCAAATATATCCCTAACATCATATAAGTTGTACAAACCTACCCTTCCTCCGTTAACTGCCTCCCTATGACAACATTTTATTGTCACCTCACCATTATACTCCCATTTTCATCCCTTCCCCACAACCTTTCTTTCCCGTTCATTTGAAGAAAAATCACAGATCATAGATATACAAACAAACTATATCAAAAGAAATGCTAACAACTAAAGATAATATGAAATAATGTAAACCGAGAAACTTCTGATTTTGCTATTCAAAATTCATGCTTATACGAACGAAAATACATTTTGTTTTATATATAAAACTAAGCAAAGATACAGGCAAACTAGTTTAAGGTTTCAAAATTGACCATGGTGAGAAAGAAAAACAACCTAGACACGAGAGTTAATTTTTTTTGTTTCTTTCTCTTCAACCACATTTCTGGANTGAAGTAGAGGCAGTGAAGTCTTCAAAATAATGATAGAACTTCAAAGTAATTGAACTTGGTAGCTGCAAACAGGGTGAAATGGTGAGGCAGCAGTAAAATGTGTTCATAGGGGAGGTAGTTAACGGAGGAAGGGTAGGTTTGTACCACTTTCATGATGTCGGGGATATATTTGGACCCATAGTATGACGTTAGGGGTATATTTAGACCGATAGTATAACGGAGGATAATATTAAACCTTTTTCAATAGTATAAGGGCATATTTGACCCTTTTCCGATATATCAAACCCTTTTGTCCTTTGTTTTTCTTTTCTCTTTTTCTAGGTTCTGTCCTCTTTGTTGTAATTAGTAAATTACGACGACTTATAAGAGTAAAGAGATGAGAATGGGAAGTCCCAATTCCCATCCATCACGCCATTATCAAACTCAGACAAGAGATGAGAATGGGAAGTCCCAATTCCCATCCGTCACGCCATCAAACTCAGACTACCTTGAGGATTATGGTCCATCGTTATAAACCTAGGTTCACAGAGTTTACATGCTTTCCATAAAATGCCTGTCCTTAACACCCCCCTCCCCCCACACACACAATAAAATAATAATAATAATAATAATAATAATAATAATAATAATAATAATAATAATAATAATAATTTGGCAATGCATAAGGCATGTTGTTAAAGGTTGTATAGTTGGGTATACGGGTAAAATCGGAAACAATACTTATCCGACTTCCTGGTGAAGAAGATGGAATAAGGGTACGGACATACGAAGTTGAATTCGAGGCTGGGAGCATTTCGTGCCGAGGCCTATAAAAAGTGAACGATGTGCTCATCGTCGGGCGATGAAGCAACACTTCCCGGACCCAAAACGAGCTCTAGGACCTCGAAAAATATGGCAAACGGTTGCACATGACTAACAGAGGGCCGTGATATCCGTACCCAACCGGATATCACGGCGCAAATCTCGCCCGATGTTGGTCACGGATCAGTAATTAACGAAAAATGATGATTTTTACCTTTTTTGAATTGTACTAAGAATGAAACTTTCCTACTATATAAAGTGGAAGTTTTTTTTTTTTGATAACACACGTTGTAACACGCAAACCAAGGCAATACAAATTTATTTTTTCTGCTTTCTAGCTATTGCAAAGTTCTTATTTTATTGTTGTTCTTCATTCACAATTGACTTCGAACCAAGGGTCCGATCGAGGGCAAAACTACTATTCAACCTAAGTTCGAGCCAGGCCGTAAACACTACAGTTGGTTTGATTATTCATTTTGTCTTTAATTCATGTATCTAATATTATTGATTATTTATGTTGAATTAATCCACATATCCTTAAAACCGCGTACAAATTTAATTATTATCTATTTGAAGGGTAAACTGTTTGGCGTCCACCACAACGCTAAGGATAATAGTGGTGATTTGATACAAATCTCCATAACACACTCTATTTTATGCTTTTTCTTTAAAGTCTTTGTAACGATCCGGCGGTCATTTTGAGAGTATTAGCCCCGATCCTCTATTTATTGCTCCCTCTGCCTCATTTTGTGGTTACTTGACTTGTCGGGGTGCTTGGTGTCGGGTTCGGGAGAGTTACAAAGTAAAATGGGACACATAGTCCCTAAGTTTGAAGTTTAAGTTGTAAGAGTTGATCGTAGGTTGACTTGTGTAAAGACGATTTCAGAATGGAGTTTCATCAAGTTCAATAGCTCCGTATGGTGATTTTGGTCTTAAAGGCGTGTTCGGATGTTCATTTGGAGGTCCGTAGGTCATTTCGACGTTAATTGGTGAAAGTTGGAAGATTTTTGAAAAGTTTGACCGAGGGTGGACTTTTTGATATTGGGGTCGGATCTGATTTCGGAAGTTGGAGTAGGTTCGTAATGTCAAATGTGACTTGTGGCAAAATTTGAGGTCAATCAGACTTGATTTGATAGATTTCGGCATCGGACGTGGAAGTTAGAAGTTTATAAGTTCATTAAGCTTGAATTAGGTGTGATTTGTGGTTTTAACTGTAATGATCCGATCGGTCGTTTTGCTTTTTAGAACCCTGTTCCCTTTAATAAGACTTCTTTTATGTGCATTTATTATTTTATGACTTGCGGGGATAGTTAGTTTGGGTTTGAAAGGGTTCGGGTTGAAATCGGAATGCTTAGTTCCTTAATATTGACTTAAAAGGGTTAAGCTTGACTTGGGTCAACAATTGTAGTAAAAGACCTTGGAACCAGGATTTGACAGTCCCAATAGGTTCGTATGATGATTTTGGACTTGGTCGTATATTCGGATCGGGTTTTGGATAATCCGGGAGCGTTTCAGCGCTTAATATTGAAGGTTGGCACATTGAAGGTTTTTCTAGTTCTTTAAATTTGGTTTGGAGTAGTTTTTGGTGTTATCGAGGTCCGTTCGGGATTCCGAGCCCAAGAATAATTTTGTATGGTGATTTAAAACTTGCATGCAAAATTTGGTGTCATTCCGAGTAGTTTAAATATGATTCAGAGCGTTTGGAGTAAGTTGGAAGAACTTGAAGTTCATAAGTTGATTCTATTTGGTTTTGGGTTGTGATTCTTAGTTTTGATGATGTTTTCTGCATTCTGAGGGTGTGAGTGAGTCCATTTACTGTTTACGAACTTATTTGTATGTTTGGTCGAGGCCTCGGGACCCCCGTATGGGATTCGGAGGGTCGACGGAGCTTGATTGCTCTTTGGAGAAGAGCTGATGGTGGCTGGCATCTGGTAGGTTCGCACCTGCGGTGGAAATGGCCGTAGAAGCGGCACCGCAAGTGCAGCGTCTCGTTTGCAGAAGCGGAAAGGAAGGGGGTCAGCGTAACCGCAGAAACGGACTCGCTTCTGTGATGAGGGGATCATAGGAGCGAAGGAGGCCAGTGTAGGCAAGGTCGCAGGTGCGAGAGGCGAGCCGCAAAAGCGGGCTCGCAGGTGCGGTGCACTTCCTCAGGTGCGCTTAGTGCCGGGCTATGTGTGTTCCGCAGAAGCGGCATCGCGAGTGTGACCCAAGGTCCGCAGATGCGAAATCGCTGGAGGCAGTGAGGGCTTTTAATGTCGGGACTCGGACAAATTTAGCTCATTTCTTTCATCTCTTGGGTGATTTTGGAGCTCTTTGAAGAGAAGTTTTCACCTAGCACTTTGAGGTAAGTAATTTCTATATGAGATGAGTTTATTACATGTATTTTGGGTAGATTCTTAGCATATGAAGTGTAAAAATTGTGGGTTTAGTTGAAAAATCTAGTTTTTGATAAAAATGAGATTTGACCATGAAAATGATTATTGAATTGCGTAAAAATTATATATTTGAGTTCGTGAGGTTATGGGTAATAATTATCTTTGAAAATTTTTGGAATCCGTGCACGTGGGCCCGAGGGTAAATTTTAGAAATCTTCCAATTTGAGTTGGGTAATTACTCTAATAGTTGAATTATTAACTTTTGAGCACATATTGATTAATTTATATAATATTTGGCTAGCTTCGGATTTGTTCGGCACCAAGTTGGGTCCTTAGAGTGAATTTGTGGCCGGAAAGTGAGCTTTGAGACGAGGTAAGTCTCTTGCCTAACCTTGTAAGAGGGAACTTACCCCATAGCTGATTTAAATTATTATTTGCTTCTAATTGTTGGGGCTACGTACGCATAAGGTGATAAGAGTCCGTGCATAGCTGCTAATTATGCTTAAGTCCGGATAGTTTAGGATCCAAATCATGAAATACTGGTAATATTTGCACCCTACTTGTTAATTAAAGTACCTAAATTATATTGAAACTTGATAAAGGATTTGTAAAGACCGAATTTCACTTACTTGAGTTTTGGCGGGTTACTTGACTGTTAACAAAAATTGTGCTTCTTTGTGTATTAGCCTTATAATAGCTTTTAAATCAGATGTTTATAAAGTATGCTCTCTTCTTGTGGAGCGTGCCGAACGCCTCGGCAGTATAATAGATGTATCTATGGTTCGTGCCGCTTGACCATCGGCAGTGTACACATTATTCTGGGTCGGGCCGTACGACCTAGGCATAAATCGTGCGTGTTAATGCTTGGAGCCCGAATACACTTGATATTATTTTCATGAATTGAGAGGTTATAATTTATTTATTTGCGAGATTTATTTTGAATTAGTATGTGTTAGTGGAGGACTTTCAGAATTT